CAGTATTTATGGGACAGTTTCCAGCTGAAAAGGAATAAAAGTTTACAATTAAGTTACCAATTTTTCCTTTCTCTTTCACTGCCTTGCACCCTTAGGATAAGATTTCTCTCTACTTTGAACTTGATGAAGTATAATGAAATTGACCCAGCGATAATCAGTGTCATAAATAGATCATTTAGAGTTTACTAAAAAACCAAGTGAACAAGGGCGTCAGCTCATTTTTACAATGTTCACCTTCCTAACCAACATTGGGAAATATTAGTTTGCTTTCAATATTTGAAAATGATTTCATTCTTCATTTCTTCTCTCCCACTAATGACCCTTTGCTGTTATACCAACAGAAGATAGTCTGTCTGCCTAATTTCTTTTTTCATATATTTATGTTAACGAGCTACTTGTTATATCACATTTGCCCCAGTTTTCTACTACATTGTTACTTAAGAATTTATTATCTGGAAGTCCCACAGCTGATTTTCTGCCATTGCTCTAAATAGCAAAGTGAAGAAATTCAGTGAAATGTGAATAAAGAGTTGGAGTAACTATAATGTTCTTAAGGTAGCCAAATGCCTTGCCATGTAGTGACATGCAAGAATAGATGATCAAGAGGCCCACTGTCACTGCCTTCTATCCAGCAAAGCTAGTCAAGGGAACTTGCTTGGAATCAATAGGGAAAGAAGACCAAAAAGAGAATAAGAAAAAAGAACTTACTGAAATTTTGTCCAACTAGTAATTCATAATTAACTAGTAAGTGACTTAATTAGATAGTATCATCACACAAATCATTAGCAGCATTAATGGAAAAAAATAAGATGACAAAAATATATCAGCCCAATCCTGGGGGCCTGGAAAGAATTCCTTAGAAAAGAAAAGCGAAATCATCCCTAGCTTTTAAGAAAAAAAAGTACATTGTACTTTTTTCAGTACATTGTGCAGGAGTAGTTTTTACTTTTCTTACTAAATTTCATGTTATTCCTTTGGTACATATTCTAGCCTTTCATGATCTGTGATGATTTGTGACATATTCTATATCCCATTTAAATGTGTTGTTTGCAAATTCAGTATCTTGTTTAATCTGTTAATACACCTTCCTCCAGGTAGAACCCATGTTGCTTGCAGTCATTTATTAAGTCTATATTTCTTCTTGCTCATAAGTATGTTTAAAGATTTTTAAAATCATAAGTACTTTAAAAATTTTTTCTATAACTAAAGGCTGTTTTATTTTAAAGATTTATTTATTTGTGCATACAGAAATAGGGCACAGGCCAGTGGTGCAGGGGCCGTGAGAGGACTCACCAGAAACAGTGGGGAGCAGAACAGCAGATTCATGAAGTGCACTGTTGAGGGGAGCAGCGGGTAGGGCAGGAGTGGTCTGCTGCCCCATGTGGATCACCTCTGGGTCAGGCAGGGATCAAACTTAGGCGGAAGTGGCTTTTGATTCTCAGTGCTGTGCTTTAACCCGCTGCGCTACCAGAGAGAGCTAGTACTTTTAAAGTTTTTTAAAAGCAGATACTTCACTGAATTTAGTGTCATTTTCCTGATCCCTCAGTAGAAGATTCTCAAAATGCAAGTTAGATTAGTTTGCAAGTTGACTTTCATAATTTCTATTTTCACAAATAGAAGCTATGTAAAGAGGAATTTTTGTCTATGAAATTTACTTAGGGACATTGTTTCCTATCTTGCTCTTGTGCAATTCTCACTTGTGCTTATTCTGTATCTCTTTCTCTCTCTGTCACTCTTTTTAAGATTTATTTATTTATGCATGTAAGAGCAGTGGAGTATAAGTCAGAGGTGTGGGAGGTGAGAGGATTTCACCAGAGACAGAGTAAAGAGCAGAATGGGTAGATTGACAAGAAATACACTGCTGAGGGGAACCTTAGCAAGACAGGAGAGGTCTGCTGTGCCATGTGGTTCATTTCCCTGGCAGGGGATTGGACTTGGGCTGTAGTGGCTACAGGTAGCTTCATAGTGCTGAGACTTAACCCCTTGTGCCACCAGGGAGGCCCAAATACAATACTTAAATGCTATAAAGTATACCCATTTACAGTGTACAGATTTAGTGATTGCTGTTATTTACAGTGTTGGTAACCATCACCATAATTTAATTTTAGGATATTTTTCTCATCCCCAAAGAAACTTTGTAGCTGTCCTTTGTATTTAAAAAATTAGATGTGATGTTCCTTTTGTTTTGTAAGGAAACTTCAGGAAGCAGCCTTTCTATTGTGAAATTCCCATTCTTTTTCCTAATATCCTATCTCTAGATAGAATTTCATTCTCCCTTTATCTATTTGACTTAAAAAACAGTGAATGAAGATCTTCATGTAACATGAAGTAGCCAGCATTTACCTAGGAATATTTGCCGTTTTCAAGGATTTAGAGCACCATTGCACTTGCTCAGGAGTTATTTCACTGGCTAGTGAAGACTTTGTTAAAGTGTTTACTTTTGATTGAATTTAGGACTAAATAGCAATAATATCGACAACATAATTTATATTCCTTTAATCATTTTGTATCTTAATGGGAAGTAGCTTCAAGAGAAGGGCCAGTGTATGTGGTCAGGTTGTACAGTGTAACTTGAAAGGAATATAAAAAAAGTTTAAATAAGGATTGAGGGCATACAGAGTTTTTTTAAAGTAATAGGGCTAATCCAGTTCTGCCAGAAATCTGAGCCTATGCTGGTTAATGACTTTATTAACTGCAGTTTCCCTAGGATAACACGATAAAATTTCTAAGTTGTGTAAATTTTCCAAACACTTTCAGTTAATCGTCACAAAATACCTTAATGAGGAAATGTAACTATGTTTTCTATACCTTCCACTTTATATGTTGCTTTGCTTGGGGGTAGTGGTTTTAGCTTAAGAAGGCTGAAATATAATAAATAATATATTAGCATTCTTTTTGTTTTTGTTGTTAGCATTGCTTTTATACCTCTGGTGTAGACTCTATAATAAACCCTTCTTTAAGTAAGGTAGAATGTCAATCCACTAGGGTTTATCTTTATCTATTTTAAGTTAGAGAAGTAGAGAAATAATCCTGGCCAGTCAGGTGCCATTAGTGATGGGGTATTACTAGGATAAGTTTTTCTCCTTGACATAAATCCTTTGTCTTTCATCTAAGCTTATTTTTATTGTCATATTTTCTGTTAGCTTGTACAGAAAAAGTGGGCTTGTGTATATATGCTCTTATGTATAAATGTATAAGGAGCTTTTGTTTTTCAACATAGGTTGAGACTGATAATTGTATTAAAATTAGTACCTAATGATAAGCACTTGTATCTCTTTGTTCTCCCCCATATGTTATTTGAAAGATGGAAGTAATTTACTCAGAGCTTTTAACAGCATTTAAAAGCTTGAAAGCTTCCAGCTCAGGGCATACCATATTCAGACAGGTGTCTAATTTAATGCTTTTGAAGATGAAAATTTTAACTCATTGCTTTGTTGTGAATGAAGACATTTAATATTATGCCTTCTGATTTTAGCTTTCCCTCACAGCTAGGATACGTACTTCAGTGATTAACTGGTAGGATCAAAGTATTTATGAATTCTGTAATCAGTTAACTAAAAGTATCATTGCTGAGGATAAAATTACTTATAGTGCTCTTTGTTTTTTAACCTTTTATGCATATAATTAATACTTCTCTGTAATTGTTAGAATGTTGGGTTTCTTAAAAGGCAAGTCCCAAACTCTGTGACTTGGTTCTTTTGAAAATGGCATATGATTCTAATTGGGCTTTTATAACTCCTTCCAACATTGATTCTGCTGCTTTTAGAGGATTTTTTGAGAGTTATTACCATACAATAGTAAATATAAATGAACTTTTAAAGTAGTAGGTATAAATTTAATTTTATGGACAATTGAAAGTATTACAAAATAATTTAAAAGATACAGTATTCTGTGATAAAAAGGTAGTCATAATCTAATTTAGGCTTTATATGTTTTCTGATTTGTGAGTATTCTATACTTATGTTTCTAGAGTTGGAGATGCCATAAAGAAGTATTTCTTTGAGCCATGACATTCCTTTTTTAGCTTACTTAGAAGACAAAAATACATTTTGAGAGGAAATTAGATATTTGTTAAGAGGTGCTGGGGAAAAAAGTGTAGGCATAGACTAGTGGTTTAATTGAAGAAAGCAACTTGAAGATAACAGGATAACAGGGAGATAGAGGGAAGAAAAAGAGCCAGGACAAGAGAGAGAGGGGAACAAATGGGACTTTCGAGGTCTACTATGGGTGTCTTCGTCGTAAGTACAGTATGGAAACAGTACCTGATGGGGGAGATCCAATACTTCCAATACTCATTGATAGAACCAGTGTTATCCCATTAAAAACAATAAAGCTGTTATATACTAGTATCTGGAGGAGAGGATGTTAATGTTACATTCTTACATTGCAAAGGAAGATGTTGGACAGTTTGGGGATGTTCTACATTTCTTCCATTCTTGACTTGCATCCATCCATCCATTCATTCATAAAACCAAGAAAAAAAAAACAGGGGACAGTGCTAATGGAAATTTTGTTCTTCAGTGTAGTAATATATACACTGGGAAAAAAAAATTTGGTGATACTGCTTTGCATGGAGTAATGGCATGGAATTGGGATTGTTTTTGGTATGTAAATACTATAGTTTTCTTTGTGAGTTAAAAAAGGGATTAATTTTGGGCCCTCCCTGGTGGCGCAGCGGGTTAAAGCACTGCACTAAGAAGCTAAAGCCACTTGCACATGAGTTCAATTCCCACCTGCCCCGGAGGTGACCACATGGTGCGGCAGACCTCTCCTGACCCACCTACTGCTCCCCTCAACAGTGTACTTTGTCAGTCTGCCTGTTCTGCTCCCCACTCTGTCTCTGGTGAATCCTCTCACCGCCCCTGAGCTTCTGGCCTGTACCCCAGTTCTGTATGCACAAATAAATAAGTCTTTAAAAAAAAAAGGATTAATTTCATGCTCATTTATTAGTCTGTTGTCTTATACTCTTTTAAAAAGTGTTTTCTTCTTCTTCCCCACAGAATCTGTCTATGATCTTCTCCCAAAGGAGTTACAGTTACCTCCATCTAGAGAAACATCTGTAGCATCAATGAGTCAGACAAGTGGTGGTGAGGCAGGCTCGCCTCCTCCAGCTGTAGTTGCTGCTGGTATGCATTTTATTTTACTTTATTAAAGAAAACTAGAGTATCATCTGGCCAACATGAACAGTGCTGGCAACATTCATCTCAGAAAGAGTGTGATTTGAGGGTTTGTTTTAGGAGGTTTTAAAATATCTATATTTAACATTCAGTTTTTTCAATCTAATTTTTCTTAATATCGTTCTTATTTCTTAAATTTTACCCTAGTGCATATCTTAGTACCATGCCCTAGAATAAACCTTTCCTTCAGTGATGGAATTGTGTTTAAAGTTCATTTATTGACTGCACATTAAAAAGGTTTGATACCAAACTATAGAGAACTATTTTTGAGTCCCTCTTGAGCAGTTGTTTAAAAAAATTTGCTTAATATCAAAAAATGCTTTCATTTTGTGTAATCTGAAAATGGACTCAAATTTCTCTTGTCTATAACATGTTACTGTAACCTTTTTCCTAATTTAAAAACATGTAAGCTATATATTTATTTTAAATTCAGTTGAAAGCAGTGGAAGGTTTGAATGTAATACTTATTTTGAGATATTATATCAAAAACGTAGAAATATGTTTTAAATTTTCTTTTTTTTTGTTCAGCTCTCAAATCATGCACTTTATAATTATACAAAATTGGTTCAAATTTTGATTTTTGAATCAATGATAGATTGACAGATAAGCTAATATGGAAAAATCTTGATAAATTAGTAAGAATGCTTTCGTAATATTAAATTGCCCAACTATAGTTCTTTTTTTAGTGAGTTTATATCTGCTAAGTGTGTTGGGTTTTAAAAAGAAATATATTTACTTTGAAGTTTTATCTGTCCTACTAATTAGAGGTTTTTTTATCTAATGTGTTACCTCTCACCTTTAAAATGGCACTTAAAGTCTATTAGAGATTTGTTTCTTATAAATTATTTTCATTTTAAAAACAAAACAGTGAAATGGAAGGTTGTGTTTTAAATAAGATCATTGGTGCTATAATAGAACCTCAGATATTTTTCTCTTTTATTTGTGAAACAATATACCATTGACCAATTTTCCCTGTGTAGTCCAATATGCAGCCTTCCTGGTTGAGGGTAGGGAAGCCTTATAAATGTCAATGAAACTTACCAGCCCTGCTCACTGTTCATGTGTTGCCAGACATTTTCTAACAGATTCTGTGGATTTAATTGTGAACATTTTATAATCAAATTTGTAAGATGATCTGGATTCGCTTTATAGCCACTGGATTTTAAGAGGTCCCTGAATATTTTTTCTGGAATTTAAAATTTTAACTCCATTTAAAAAATTGTACCAGATAATAAAATAAGAAAAAAAGAGTTTTTAATAAAGTATTTCACTTTAAATCCACAGGTAGAAATTGACTAACTGATTTCTTTTTTATCTTTTATGAAACATTTTTTAAAAGACTTGTTGAATCTGTATAGAACTAAAAGTCTGTTTCTTCTGTGCTTTTTAACATCTGTTGATAGTAGATCCAGTTCCTTTTAAAAAGCTGAAAAAATGTTGACTAGGTTTAGAAAAAGAACATTTCCTTTTAAGTAATACATAATATCAATTTCAGAAGATGTTATATGTAAATATTGAAGGTTCTTGAATTTGGGTCGCTATTTGAATATTGATCCACCATATATTTGAGAAAATCTTGTCAATAAAGTAGGTGGAAAGTTCTGAGTTGAAATATGAAAATAAGAGAATTAACCAGAGAAGGCATTCCAAATTAATAAATTCTTATTAGATGCAGAAGTTACTGCATTGTAAACATGGTAGAGACATGTTTTCTTAGATTCACACCCTGAAAGTTTCTATGATCTAAAACCAAATCATTGTAATCATTTTAAACATTTTACAGTTAGTAACCAACAGTCTTATTCTAAGATTTTAATGTGTTATTGGTAGACTAGAGTCTTCATATACCTTTATAGATAAGAAAATAATTACTAAAGGGAAATCATATGTATATATACCATTAGTCGTTAGTCACTTTATTTGGCATGTTAACATCCTGGTGACATAACTGTCAAAGAGAAATGTTTAAATTACCAGTTATTCAGTATTTCCTGACCAAAAGTGTCTAGGGGAAAGGCACATTAATTTAGATTTCCATGAGTTGTTGTTGTTTTTTTTTTATCTGTAGCATTTGCTGTTTAAATATGAAACGCGTAAATATGATGACTCTTGATGTAGTTAATTTCTTCAGAGTTTTGAAGGAGCCGGATTGGCTGCTATCAGGTATGAGGGCCTGGTGGGAACAGACTTCTAGTTCTGCCATAAAGGTTTGTGTTTCACAAGTTCTAAATCAATTTAAAATTTAGAGACTGGGGATATAGGTATTCATGTATACATTACTTATTATTTATTAAAAATGTATTTCTCAGATTCACCAATCTAGACTTTTCCCTTTATAAATTACTGAGAATTAGTGAACATGATGCTGCTAATCCACAATCCAGAATATTACGTAAGAGTTTCTCAATTCTTTTTCTGCTTCTGCACTACTCTCACTTTTACATACTCCCAACAATTATATCTTTTTGTATGGTAAATGCCAATATTAGGGCTCGGGTGACGAGGACTTGCTTTTCCTACACAGCTGCTCTCCATTGGCCAAGTGTCAAAATCTGGGAGTTGTACCTGAGAAACACTAGTTTCACTTCTCCCAATTGTTTTTAAAAGACTTGTTTTTGTCCCACTGGAAAGGTATTAAGAAGTTGAGGTTCAGTATGTAAATAAATAACATTTTTAGAAATACATTTTCTAAGTAGTATTGTAGGTTCGAAGTTCTTAAAACAGAGGCTATTTTCCTTAAAGAAAGTTATGTGAATGACTTATTTTGAACACTAAGGAGTTGATCAAGAAAAAATGCAAATCATGAAAGGATTCTTTTTGTCATAGTGAAATGTACAGTATAAGTTACAAAGAACTAAAATGTAAGAGCATTTAGGAGAAGGAAAAGTTTCATCAGAATTGGGTGTTTGAAGAGCGGTAGTAGAAGGTATTTTTCTCTAAGTATGGAAGTATAGTTCACAACCATTCAAGTATTGCTTGTATGTTTATTCTTATATTTACTTAATTTAGTTAAAATAGGAAGTCTTTCATAGAAATGAATTAATAAACTTTGTTATTCACTTTAAAATCATATCATTCACCTGAAAAGGTGAGGTCATTTATTTATGAATCATATAGTCTTGTAAACCAATATTGCCTTAATAAAAAATTATTAAAAAGTAAAATTATTTCCTATACTTACCTTTTATCAACTTCACTAAACTGTTTTAAGATTAAAACTTTGAGTTACATAGTGAATTAATGTATCAACCAGATACATTTTTTTTAAGATTTATTTATTTATGCATACAAAATTGGGGTACAAGCCAGAGGTGCAGGGGCAGTGAGAGTATTTATCAACAACAGAGTGGGGAGCAGAACAGCAGACTGACTGAAATACACTACTGAGGGGAGCAGTGGGGGAGACGGGGGTCACCTTCTTTACGGGTGAATCAAACTTGAACCCATGCTGAAATGGCGGCGGCTAGCTTCTCAGTGCTGCGGTTTCGTTGTGCCATCAGGGAGGGCCAAGAATTATTTTTTTCTAATGTGAGGCCATACCTCTGGGATTAGCCAGAGAATCTTAAGAATAACTACTTAATAATTCTTTTGTTTTCATAAAGTTATTATTTTACTTTTAGTAATTATAATCTTTTTAGAAATAATATAGTTTTAGTACATAAGCATAGTCTAGTGATTTTAAATGTGTATGATTTTTAACATGTAACCTAAAGTATATTCAGTAGCAATTACTGTTGAATATCTCCATGGTTGGATCACTGTAACTTTTTAAGGCTGTGCTTTAAGTTAACACATTTATTAAGTTATTAAAATTAATGACCTATGGGAAGTGATTCATAATATAAATTTTCTGTTGGAAGAAACTTATTAAATAGTGATTTGAATTATCAGCCATAGCAGTTTATAAGTCTCAAGTACTTAACAATTAAAAAATCTCAAGTACCTAACAAGTATTTTCTATACTTAAGAATTTGTGTGCTATTTATACTATAGGACAGGATATTACAGAACTAAATTATATCCTACAAATCAAAGAACAGTTGTGGTTTAGTTTTTTTGAGGCCTCTTAATCACATACAATAAAATCATAGGAATTTCTAAACTACCCATAACAACAAAACTATACAAAAATTGAATTAAAGAACATGTAAGTTACCAGTTTTTAGTTCCTACTACATGGTAGGAATTGTACAAGACAATTTGCATTTCAGTATACCCCAGTTCTTCTAGGCATAAGGTACCTCTCTTTACTACTAGGATCTTTCCTATGTTAGCAGTTCTTTTCTCCCTGCCAGTGTACTTTTAGAAATTTATTATTGAGTGTTTTGATTAAGGGAACAAAAGTGTGTAAAAGTATATGAAATATTGAGTTGAAAAAGTCAAATCCCATCTCATTTATAAGTTTCAGTAGCAATAAAATGGGAATATGATTTGTAGAAGATTATCAACTTTTAATAAAAGTGATTGACGAAGAACAATTATATAGCTCATTCAATTTATTATATTAGTGTTTTAAAGTATATATAGTTAGCTAATTTGGATTTTCTTTAGTTGACTGAATTGTGTCTTTGAGTTCTCTCCTCAGTTAACTAGGTAAACATGTTTCAGAGTGTTGCCCATTTATATTTAGTGTACCATCCCTAACATTAAACCCAAAACCAATTAACAGAAAAAATAATTCATTTATGTGACCTATGTATTAATGTAAGCTGAAATAAAGTTGATCTTGGTTATTCCATATGGTCATTCTTGCTTGTGAGCATGTTGCAAATAGATTTAAAAACTCTGTTCCTCATTCTGCTGAAATTACAAAGTAAATATAAATATGTACATATATATAGAAATATGTACATGTAGATTTATGTTCATATTTGCATTATTAGAATTGAAAGCATAAACAATTTGGGGCCATAACAGTTAACTCAGAACAACTACCAATTCAGCATGCT